TCAGCTAGAAAATTGGGATCGCATTAGACTTATGTTAGATACTTAGGTGTGGATGAAGCCTAAGGGAACTCATGTTCATGCAAGAAAGGACTTCTGCGTACTAGGTCGATCAATGATATCTTATAAATTTAAAACGGCGGTCAAGAAACAGGATAGAATAAGGAAATATAATTTGGTGCTGTAAACAACCTGCTGGGCAGAATTTGACAATGAGGTGGGTTTGCTTTTATGATATGGCCAACCTCAGGGGTGACCATATCATGACCAGACACGGCCGCTCTAAAGGTCAATTAATTATCACCTGCGCACTTGTAAGAGAGTATTAAACATATTAAATAATAACAAAGTAGTAAACAAACGAATATATCGATCTCAATGCCTTATTTCGGATGGCCAACTGATTTCGTATTCTTGCCTAATGTCCTGGACGTTGTATGGTGTGATAGTCACGCTATCTACATAGGTACCTAGGTATCTCATGATGACCCCCGTTTTCATCCGAAGCATCAACAATATTATGCCTCGTTAGAATTGCCTCGCCTATAGAAGCCAGCACGTGTGGTGTTACAGCAGTAGTAGCATGCGAGTCTGTCGGACTGGACGTATACTTAGGCCGTAAGTACTATACAGTCGGCTTTACGGGCGTTGGCCGGATAGTCTTCGCGGTGAAATTCATAGAGCCACCATCTCGGCGAGCATACCTAGGTACCCAGCGTGAATCGTGGCGTTGCCTCTCTGGCGGTGACGTTGAACTAGGCACCTACCCAATGAATCATTGACTAATGATATAACTTGTTAAGCGATTAGAGCACATTGACTTGAGGAACAACCTCGCAGCAAAGCCTTTGATATGACCGACTCACCGAAAATCCCTGATTGATTATCCTGGAGGCTTGGATGCCTACGACGCCTGCCTTGCTGTAGGACGGATCAATCATACCACGAGACAACTCCGCGTCATAAGCCACCATCTAAACGGCCGCGAAATTCTGTCAAACGCGAGACGACGGCATTTAGATGGAAGGATGTTCTAGAAGTCTGATAGGCCTAAAGATGACGCCTTGTTGTGCGGGAGGTAGGCCTCCAATAGGTCGCGATTGTCTGTTGCCTCGTCGAATTCTTGAAACATCTAATGATGATCGTCGCTAGGCAGCGGCATCATTAACTAGAAAAAGTATGTGACACAAATTAAATATCAACGAACCCACAAATATGTACTTATTCATACCTAAATTCCAAGTAGTCATCATGTCCTCCTGGCGCGGATACGTGGGATGTAGTCAGAGCCGCTGAGTTTGTAGACCGAGGGTAATTTTTTAAGACGCTAGGATGCTCTCTGGGGCCTTCGGTGACAAATATGATTTCGTAACTTCCTGATACGAGCGGTCGTATGAGCCTGCTGCGTGCCCAGTAGCGGTCAATGCTTTTCGGGAGCTGACTTCTTGTGTCTTCATGCTTGACGTTAGCCATGTAGTAGCGATATCTTGACACTAGAAAGGCACAAAAAGGTACCCAAAGTAGGTATTTCAGCGAAGATAATTTTTTCTCTCTCTCATGTACTTGCTTGCCACTTATAGTTAAAAGCGATATAAAAATGGCGAAATTTATACGCCTACCACTCATTTTCCAGCAAGTATTGATCCACGCGGTCCCTGGAAGCACAGTCGGGGATGAGGCGAAGCTGTAGAGCGTCGTTACCAAAACCAACAACTGATTGGTTAGGACTGATTGGGAGACTGTACCTGGGATTCGCCTTAGCTGAGAAGAATTTGCCTTATTTTAAAATATTCATGGCGTAGGTGGGCAGAGAAGGGTTTGAAACAGAAAAAAGGGGGATTTAAACCCGTCATCCACTCGGATACGACGGCTATTATACGAAATATACAACCTCCAATATTAGTGAGAGAAAACACACACGAACAGTTAAGTAGCCAAATCGTTTAGAAATTACACTGGAAATGGTTGGTTGATGATAGATATGTGCCTGGAGGACGTTGACATCTGAAGGTACGATTGTGTGTAGAGCGAGCCAATGGCGCGTTTGTACGACGCCGGAATCGCCGAATACCACGGCGTGGCTCGGTAAAGGGACGTGGTCTTGGGGGGTACAAATTGCCGTCTATCAATGTCGGGATTGGCTCATTGGAAGTATGTTAGCCCGTATGATCCAGATCCCGGGAAACCCGAAGCCGGTGTGCGTAGTTCTCATAGAGTAGAGGTGCTTCGGTGACGTAAGCTATCATGCCTCAAAGGCGCCTTCGCCTGTAGACCACTTTACAAAGCTCGATGAAAAATCGAGGCGAATAAAAACGTGGGATGTTGAGTAATTGATGTTCAGCTTGCTGAAGAACTCGAGGATAATAATTGCCGGTGGCGAGGTGGTGTGGATGCCTCCGGGTGGCAATGGAAATTTAATCTTCCTGCTATTCCATGCGTATTTATGTGGTATAATATGCCAGGTGGATATATATTCTTCGGTTAGAGGCGTATTTGGGTCCTATTTTGTAGTTTGAGGTCGAATTTAAACTATGCTCTCCTGAAGGAAATGCTTTAAGAGTCACGATGTGACTGACTGTGATAGTCATCCGTCATCCCGGGATTTGTGGCTCAGAACATGAAGCCACAGTCATTTGTCGTCGAAGTGCGGGCCAGTTACGATATAACTAATTCGTATAATGCATTTGAACACGGTATGACGTTGTTTCATCATTTGAGGCTCTGCGGCTTTATTTTCTTCTTGATTGATGAAGTTGGGAAGAGTTGAAATTGGGGGCGACAGAACGGGGAACGGGGACCATGATGATGGAATTACAAATTTAGGAACAACCTTATTATTAATGGAATGGATCTGTCAGTCATAGAGATCTGTGTAACTTATTATCGATAACCTTGGAGGTTTAGTGGTGGACGAAGGCCTTAGCTCCACTTTCCGCGCCTGCTTGAGCCTATTGGAAGGGACCTCCCACCTATAACTACCTAGGTAGGTACCTAGGTACCTACATCCCCACTAACGCATCCCAATTTTCCACCTAAAGAGCTCTCAGTTTCTTCTATCATCCTTTCCATACCTAACCTATACATACCTTCCTTATATGCACTTACGTAGGATAGTCATGCGCTTATATTTATGGTCGCTTCCACTTTTCTACCTTCCAATCTAATACCTAACACTCTATTTTTGAATCTGCAACTTTGATTATGTACTATTTATCCAAACCCGCCCCATTTCGTAGAGAGCCGCGCTGCGTTTTCTTCAGGTTCGAGCACCACGGCATATCATGAACTTACTCCGTTGCGCCCTAGGCAAATAATAGGGCTCAGGGCCTCGTTGCTCCATATCTTCGGTAGACCTTCCTTTTGCTCTACTTCCCTGAGGATGCCTGGCGGTTTATCCTGCGGCCGAGTCATCCAAGGATTTCGGTGGATTCTAATGATGTTATATTCATTTCGGAATCTGAATACATCGGTGCGATAATGCTGACTGCTTACTTGAAAACACTCTATATTGGCATACAGAAATAGTCCTATCTTATTCTCGCATTCGATTATCTATAGTAGCCTGCTTATCCCAAATATCTCTCGGGCGACCGTTCGCGACAACGAGCCGATAAATATGACACCGACTCTATGGCACTTGTACTCATCCCCTGACTACCAACCGACCCCACGACCACGAGATTATGACTCTTACGATGTTTGCCTTCGCGATTTCCCACGATACAATTTGCGACGGAACGCTACCATGTTTGTGGTGTGTAGGAGTTAGGAGTTTGGCGTTTGCACCAAAGCCTGGTTGGTATACCGCAGAACGGTGAGGTATATGTGCGAGAGGGTTTGATTTGATTGTTAGTTGCAATTGAGTCGTGACAATAATGTGAAGTGGAGAATATAGCAAAAGAGAAGAGACTGTTGGGTTGACTACTAGGACAACTTTGGGGGATGCGGGATTCCCTAGGTGATGGTTCGCATGCGGCTCTACAGATTACCAAGACTGGGCCGCGAACCAGGCAACCAAAAATGTACCTAGGTATTATGAATACTAAGTATAGTGCAATGTACCTACACAGTGTACCTAGGTAATCAATACGGTCGTCCGCGAACCCCCCTAAGCCTTCTGCTGTAAGTTTGTTTCGATAAAAGGGCTGGCATTCGCGACGTCTCGAGGTCTTCTGATATCATTAATTAGAACCTCATCAACTACTTCAATGAAACTTCGCGGAATCCTAATTTTGCGACATCAGGGTCACTACTTTTATCTTGGTAATGCGTAAGTAGATTGACCACCAGTCTACTCTTCATTCCCAACACACCTACACCTACCTACCATTATACCTTTAGCACCTCCCCCCGTCATGTTCAATTCAGTCAGTACATTGGGCATTGCCACCAATTTTGGAGTTGCACCACGAGCCTGACTGCGAAGCCACATTTTGCGCAGCTAATCACTTGTAACCATCTCACTTACACGCTGGGCACGCTGAACACTCACTGAGCACACTAAACACACTGAACAACCCACTAAGCCTAAAGGCGCAAACAGAGAAAGAATACATCCACGTTGTTTAATTCGCACCTGCTTCATTCATTATTCAGTTCTAGCGCTAATTTTTGATTTAAAATTTGTAATAGGCAGTTACCAGTTTATAATACGACGTGGGGATCAAATTTATGCACAATTTTTTGAAAAGAGCTTCTTGTGACCTTGAAATATTCATGTGCAGCAAACTTCGATTCCATCACCAACATTGCCGTCAAAATCGGCAAAAATTTCATCCCTCATCAACATAGCATAATCTATGAGGGTTTCTGCCACAATACTTCTCACAGACAAACGCCGGGTAATTCATTCTGACTGACCCCTCTTATCGAGTTAATAAGTTTTATATCTTGCAATAAATTTATTATTTTTAAAGGTCTGCTTCCCTCACGAAACTACCTTTTTACAAATATAGTATTTACAAAATTCCAACAGACTACTACGTAGTTTCCCTCTCGCCAATATGCCTCAGAAAGACGTTGCCGCATCTTTCACAAATTACCTCCGGAAGGCCTCCAAACTCTCGTGTCCCTTCCCAAATTGCGAGGACCAATTTCCTGCTATTGATGATAGGATACGAAATCATCTGCAAACACGTCATCAGGATCTCCTAGAGCAAAGGGACATTTCTTTACTTATTCAAGAGGTTAGAGCCGGTGGCACTGTGGCCCCGAGAAGGTAAGTTTTGCCTCAGTCACCTTATCTCAGCTAGCTGACACCCAATAAAGGGTAACGACTGACCTGTCTCAACAACTGAGCACTTCCCAAGACCCAGGGGGTGGGCCGGCGGATCCGCCAGGGGATAATGGGGAGGGGAATGATGTAAGCCCATATAAGAGACGTAAATCTCCTGTTTCGTCAATTAGGGGTCAGCCTCGGCCTAGGTCCGCGAGCCCTCTTAGACGATCTAGAGCCCGGCCTCAGCCTCCACCTACCCCTAATGATCCCGAATTTACAAGAGCCCCGCAATTGGGAACGCTTTGGAGCCCGGACGATAGCGCTTCATCACGACCGAAGGCCCCTCCCCCTTCAACCTCAAGACAACCTAGGAATGTTAGCCAGTCTAGAAGTCGGACGGATACTGCCGAGGAGGACCCTGAATCTCTTAAACTAATTAAACAACCTGAAACCCGGCCTATTAGTCAAGAACAGTTGATTGCTGAGGTTAAAGGAATATACGCAGGACTTGTTATGGTGGAATCTAAGTGTATAGAGGTCGACAACGCCCAGTCAACGCAAAACGAGACGAAACTCAACAACGAGCAGTGGCAAGCGTTAATAGCCCTACACAGGACGCTGCTTCATGAGCATCACGATTTTTTTCTCGCCTCGCAACATCCGTCAGCTAGCCAGGCGCTGAGACGGTTAGCGTCTAAATATGCCATGCCGGCGAGAATGTGGAGGCATGGCATACATTCCTTCCTCGAGCTGCTACGCCATCGCCTACCTCATTCTTTAGAGCATATGCTTACCTTCATCTACTTGGCGTATTCGATGATGGCACTTTTATATGAAACAGTTCCCGCTTTTGAGGATACATGGATAGAGTGCTTGGGAGATTTGGGAAGATATAGGTCAGTAAAGGGTGGTAGAATAGCCCCTACAGAATGCTCACAATGGATGATGTAGAATGGCGATTGAAGACGATGATATCCGGGACAGAGAAGTTTGGACATCCGTGTCTCGGCACTGGTACTCGAAAGCGTCTGATAAGGCGCCTACTACGGGAAGACTTTATCATCATCTCGCAATCCTTGCCAGACCGAATCCCCTTCAACAGCTATATTATTACACCAAATCTCTCTGCGTGCCCATTCCATTTAGCTCAGCACGGGAGTCGATTATGACCCTATTCGACCCTATTCTGGACCCGACTAGTATTCAGCATTCTCGGTTGGTCGCAATTGATGTGGCCTTCGTAAAGGCGCATGGGATCTTGTTTAGCAATAAATACGCCGACGAATTCCTTCCGACAGTTGACAGGTTCTGTAGTATGCTAGATAACCATATTGGCCGAACCACTAGGAAGTGGATGGAATCAGGGTGCGTTTGATCCCTATAACCATGCTTCAAATGGGCCACGATATACTAAGACAGAAACAGCTACTATATCGCTATCTCGAACTGCTGTGGCCTTTTATCATACGGCCAAGAGGACAATATCCTTCTAAAGGGATTCCGCCCCCACGCGGAAGACACAACCGAGCTGACTACTGAAAACCCTCTAGCCTTGTACAAGCCAAGTAGGACAGAAGAGGGTGCGCTAAGACTCTTTGAAGGCACCTGTGACGTCGTCTTGCGCAGATTAGGCGACCTTAATGTAAGTGGTACTCATAGGTCTAAATGGTCTTTTCGGCTAACAGAGCATCCTGTAGACCCTCCCGTTTCTTCACGTCATCATGGTTTTCATATTTCACCTCACATATTACCTAAGTGCAATGTCCTTCATTGAGAAGACAATCCCCTGGAAACTAATCTCCCTCCAACTCAACTCCCTGCTCCTCTCCTATAGAGAACATCATAGAATACATGATGAACAGTTCCCTAGACAGGACAAAGAACTTGCCCCTCGTCCGCTGCCAGAGGATTTTGCCATGAAGGGCCTTGTCTGGGTAGATAAGTACTTTCCAGTAGATTGGTTCAGCAACGATAAGATCGACGACGATGAGAAGTATTTTGAAGTAGCCTCTATGACAGACGATCGCAAGGAGAGAATCCTATGGCTGGCTTGTCGAATTGCGAAGCTCGGCAAGTGGCTCACTTACGATGAGACGTTACACCAGTTCGACGTTGTTCCCGAATACGAAAAGGAGATAGCAAATATCGCGAAAGACGCGGACATGAACATCTCCGACCTTGACCCGGTTTCCGGTAGCTCTACGTTCAACTCGGCGGCCGCTGCGGGGAACGCAGTATCCGAAAAAGACGATGAAGATATGGTCGATGTCGACGAAATGCTGGCCTATAAGCCGATAATTCGCCAATGATTTGGGATGGACTGGGGAGCTATGCAGGCTGGCAGTGGTAAGGATCTCGACTGTACTATTTAGGTGGCGTTGATAGTCGATGGTTTCATTGATACCAGTCCCGTCATTACGCATCAGATATCCTCCATTTAAGGTCTTATCTGCCTTGCTAGCTGACGTTACTCGGACCAACCATCACGCCCCTTATCAAGGACGACAAGCCTCGCTTGGTATGAAAGACAGCATCATACCACGGATACTACTAAATTTCCCACCTCAGCTCCTCAACGAGAAGGTTGGTAAAATAATCCTTAATTATTGTTTACTTTGATTAATATTTGTTCTATTCCTGTTTATAGTAATCGGATTATCTTGTATGTTAAATTCAACTAGAATGTCAAAACTTCCACACACAATCAACGAATCTAGGGATCTTCTCTAGTTCGTCCTCATTCCGGAATATGTCAGCCAAAGCAACCCCGCTTCCTGGCCGTGTGATCTACCAATCCACCAGTACATATCTGAGTACCTATTCGGGTCAGCGTGGTAGGGCTGTCAGCTATTCGGAGGAGCCCCTGAGACCCCCTGAGCCAAGGATTACTGAGCACGTATTCAGTGCAGTGGAAGGCTCGGCTAGGCTACCATTCGATACATAGGGAAATCCGACGAGGCAACTTGCTCATCTTGTTTTTGGACATTAACATTGAACATTACGATCCCACGCCATTGAATCGAGCTTCCTAAACTTGATTCCAACTTCTTCGGCCAGTTATCTAGGTGTGCATACCTACCTACCTGGTAGGTACCAAAAATAGGTACCATAGCCACACTAATCACGGCTGCCTTAGGACCCCCAATAGGTACTCGTTTACTGGGCGTTTAGCAGATGCGAAAATACCTTAGCGGCCGCGTACTTGGAGACATGGGAGAATACCTAGGTAGCCGAAATGACGTGGATTTTCAGCTTTTGAATTCTCGAATTCATTCCTGGATTTGCCGCTCGGCTGGCTGTTATAGGCGGCTGAGGGACTGGCCACGCGGTTTCAGCATGTTCTCGCGAAATTTATCAGCAGAGCGATGAGGGCTTATTCTCACTTCTCTGATCTATTTGTGATTGATTGGATGCCTACGATGGTGCGTATATGACGAGCGCGGAACTTTTTACTTAGCAATTGTAGTGATATTTCAAATACATCTATACGAGATTACGTTCCCTTGACCAAGATGCCACTCCTGAAAAGCAACTCCAAGAAAGCTACCTACCACACTCGACTCCAAATCCTGAGCGAACCATTCAGGTGAGTTGAGCGACATATGGGTGTGTGCCGAAAAATGCATGGCCGAAAGCAAGGCAATCAATCATAGGTACACGCTGCGTGCAGGGAATATTATCAAGGAACCCCATAAACCCTGGAGCAAGCTTATGTGCATACACCACGCTACGACTGCATGTCATTACCTACCTAGGTAGTAGTACCTAGGCACCCTCTGCTTCTAGAAGTATGTAGCATTTGAATTGTCCTAAGGACAACCTAAGCGCTAGGGGTGGAGGCGGCTTTAGGTACTTATAAAGCCCAATAGGTACACATCCGAAAATCCTGGAACACAACATAAGGCTGCCAATTTGGTAGAAACAACGCATAGAACTCATTGAGGTAAACAGGAATTTATATATATGTCTCAAACATCGGAACGACTCTATATTGTATCGGACCTTGTGAAGGGGCGAGGACAGTGTTGGTGATTACTTCGGCTGACACAAAAAGCTCGGAACGGTGCCTTGCGCATGGAGGTATGCAAGGATCGCAGGATGCTGCTTTCATTTTATAAGTGTAACTCTGTGTCGGTTGCCTTAGTCTATATTTCAGATAGTAATATTTTTTCTCATCTTCCCTCCCTCATTAGCCTATAAGTTGCAACATCCCTTCTAACACTTCAGGTATTACGACGACGCTGACCACATACATGCTCTTTTTATCACGTTTTTTTTTTTTTTTTTTTTTTTCATATCTGCTGCGCTTACTCAATTACGGCGATAGCAATTTCTTAACTCATATGACCGCGAAAGCGCTCAGATATACATGGGAGTTTCTTACGGATACCTCTCACGAAGGGTAATATCCGGCGAAGAACGCCATAGTGTTTCAGCCAGCTAAAAAGCAACCCATCTGTTCAATCATCTCAGGTATGAAGGCGTACTCGCATGCACCAACTTTTTCTTTTCGGGATCGATGGATCAATTGTAAATAGATCCCGCCCACACATTACACAGTTCTGCCTTTTCTCCCGCGCCGGTTCGAGCTTCACCGAAACGGATGAGATAAGGATTCAGAAGTGCTCGAATTGGGAGGTGATGTAAGGAAGGGTATGTACGATCGTACATCCGGTCCAACGTTCTTCGGATCACGGACCCAGTGCTCCTTTCAGCTTTAGCCAAGTTTCAATGCAATGTAATGTGGAATCGATTTAGCACGATCTACATTCCTAGTAACTCCGGCCGGACTCTACTAAATAAAGGGAAGGACAATCCTAAGAAGCAAAAATAAAATGCCTCGTTTCCCTGATTAACTGAGGCAACTCAAGGCAAACTGAATATGTGGTACCTATCTAGTAAGGGATTGATGCGCATGTTTTAAATGATGTGTGGGCTCTCGACCCCGCGGGAGAGCTGTCCCAATGCATCAGAGCCTCTTCATACAGGGTACTGACGCGAAAGTGATATAAATTGTGAAGTAGCGTTGATATGCAGGAAATGACCACCGTGATGGTTGTCTTTTGTGCTGTGTTACGTTACTTACCTATAAGTAATATTTCTTTAAGACACAAATGTACTACATGCCTTCTATGGCGGGCTTTAGATGGTGCCCATCCTCGGATACGCGCCCACAAATAGAAAAAAAGAGCTAGGAAAGGCCTCTTCCGCGCTGCCGCAATAACACGAAGGAAATTATGTCAGAGGGCTGTTTTGGAGACGAAGATGGTGTAGGGGCGGCATCAAACGGGCTCTGTTCGATCATGATGCAAGCCCGTGAACAAGAAACAAGCGACGATAGCCTTGGAAAGGCTGCCGAGATCCCTGAGATTGTAGGGTTGAATGGAATGAGGGGTTTGAGCCTGCCTACCTACTACCTAAGTACCCATAATGGTAGGTAAGTGCTGTACTAACACAGTGCTTAAGCTACCTGGGAAGGTATTAGCGTAGCAGGCCTAGTGTTTGCCTGTTCAGTTGACGATCGCACTCATTCGTCATAGTAGGTAACTAAATCAAGTAAAACTTAGATTATCAATTGTCTCATGCAGTTTTTGGGCACCGAGTGAGGTAAGTGTACGTCGAAATACGGAAGATGTTGATTGTATATGGTGGGGGTTATCCATATTTTGCATGTATCTACTCAGGTATTTAGGTACCTAGGTATTAATTTTAGGGGTGCTGAAAAAAGATCTAACTTTGGACATTTTTTCGGTGAGAATTCATCTACGCAAAAGAGGATAGCACGAGGAACGCCTGAAAACAGGCTGACGTTTGGCCTGATTTTGATTTTCTTACAGGCAAGTAAGCATCCGACTGTTGTGGACAGAATGTTGTCGAAAAAAAAAGGCAGATCAGGCTAACCGTGGGTCCCCTACTTTCTCCCGGTGCTTGCTGTTCCCGCCTGGTTTCATTTCCCAGCCTTCGAAATCCAATCGCTTGTCAGCTATGTCGCCAACATGGAATTGATGATAGGATTTATGAAGGCTGGTTTTTGTTGCAATTGGGGTGCGGTGAGCACCCTCACCGACAAATGCATAGAAAAGGAGAGAGGGAGAAAGATTTTGGGCGAGGCAGCCGCAGGAAGCGGCGGGGAAAATTCAAGCCTACCTACTCATTGACGAAATTCTTATGCTTCAATTGAAATCATGGACTACGAAAGTCTAACACAGTATGTACCTTGATGACAGGATCAAAGGCCTACAGCTCGGGTATGCTGTTACGTCCGGTTGATTATATTGTGGTTGTACGGGTTTTGTTCATCCATTTTTTGGTGAGAAGGATGATGGTTTGCAGCAAGGCGACGCATCTCGCCTAGTTGTATCACCTTTCGGTATTTATGACTCTTTCAGGGGCGTGAATATTTCTAACATTGAACTACATGGATTTTGGTTGCCTTGAGAGGCTGAAACCATTGTCGTGCTGTTGGGGGTTGACAAGTTGCTACCGTTCGTGGATGTCACCCATCCGGGGCGCGCTAGGACTCTAAGGATATCATGATATTTATCAGGAAAGAAAAAGCGCATACGAATATGCAACAGAGCCCTCTGCTCATATTGTGCTCAATTTTCGGGCGTTGGTGCACCGGGAATTTTCGCTGTCGGGCGCCAAGAAAAGATGTCGAAACCTTGGAAGTACCTAATTTTTCCATCTGTTGGAAGGCCTGTTTATACAGAAATTGCCGGGGCGACGGTACGATGCATATGGAAATACCTACTTAGGTAGTTAAATAAGGTATATCGATCAATTTGCATATCTTGTTGGATCAATTTTGCGATCGTGGCTTTGCGGTATGCAATCCACTGTTGGACTTGGTGCTTGTTATATTGAGAGACCCGACCCAAGGCTTAAGACCTACACTAGACGATGCCGACGAAATATCGTACGCACATTCTTATATAACTTACCGATGCTTTAAAGGTTATTGAAGACCCCATGCTTCGTGCACCTAGGTACGTCTAGCCTCAGTGCTGAGGCCATACAGTTGATAGTACGTGTAGATGCCGAGGAGTTTGCGCATGTCCAATATCGTATAATGAAGCGTCATTTCTCTTTATCTATTGGGCCTTATACTTAAGAAATATACTCAAAAACGCAAGATTAGACTTTCGTTGCGTTGCGTTATGGACTGGGTTCCTCACCTCCACCACTACCCCTATTCAAGGTAGTCTATTAAGTGAGCTATTGCCATAGTCCATATAATTTTCTTTTCTATAAGTCTCGAAAACCCGATCGGCTGTGAGAGTCTAGCGACCCAACTACATAAATATCG